AAATTGATGTATTCATTGCGGTATTCATTACAACTTCAATCGTTACAATAAAAACAAAAAAAGATTGTCTTTTTATAAGACTTTTACACAATGAAAACAAAAGTTTACAACTCTCGTCAAAACAAACGCAGAGATCGTTTATCGGTCTTCTGCTTGCGTGGGATCTTTGCCTGTGCCGGGGTTTATCCGTGGACCGCCTTAGATCTGGATCCGGTTGATGAAAAATTTGGCAGAGCTTCGTCTTCACCGAGGAAGTATTTGATTTGAAGCGCTGAGATCGACCAAGCGAAATCAGGGCTCTTCTCGAGATTAAGACCAAGCCTAATCTCAAGGGACGGACGGGAACGGGCGTCGGATCTCTCGAACTCTCCTTCTTTATGCCGAAGAACTCGCCAAGATCTGTCAACCCTCGCTGAAATTCGTGCTCCTTTGACTCCACAATCCGGCAGCACCTCCTCGTCTTGATAATCAATCGCACCTAGAAAATGGAGGCCTTTGGTTCATATTTATAGGCCTCGAAATGCGGTTATTTGGATGAGAACAAGTGATTTGGCTCTATCTTCAGTCGACAGCAGCCTAACCACGTTTGGGGATGGTCTCAAGTCAGTTAAGAACCCCTGGAACCGATAAACCCTGCAAAAAACCAATTAAAAACCGTCAAAACGTGTTTGGGACATTAGACTGCGCGGCAGAACAATCTGACCCGCGCTCGCGCGGGTCGGAGTCGGATCATTCCGTCCTGCGCTTAGCGCGGGTTCGCCGACTTTCTCCCTTTTTTTGGTTTCTTTCTTCCGGGACTTGTTCTTGTTGCGTATTCGTTCGATTTGTTGACTTGTATGCTTCGTCGCGAGACCGATCGTCGAACGCGCGTTGGTTAATATACGCGTGCTGATCGATGCGCGCGGGCTGATTGACGTGCGCGCGTTGACTGGCGCGCACGAGTTGGTTGACGTGCGCGCGTTGACCGGCGCACACGAGTTGGTTGACGTGCACGCGTTTGACCGGCGCGTACGAGTTGATTCGACGTACGCGCGTTGACCGACGCGCACGGGCTGATCGACGTGCGCGCGTTGACTGGCGCGCACGAGTTGATTGACGTGCACGCGTTTGACCGACGCGCACGAGTTGGTTTGACGAATCTTCTTGACTCGCCCATTCATTGCTTCGAGTTTCGTGTGGGCTCTCGTAGACAATTTTAGACGCCTACAGATACCCCCTCCAAAGTGTTTCAGCCTCATTCTTTTATAGAGGAGTCTGAAACGCTTTGGATATGATGGATCCCCACCTTCAGTCGGTGTTAAAGGAGCTACAGATGGTTTCGATTCTTGACTTCTCCATATTTTAGCGTATTCTGTATTTTGTCGAATAGCTAAGATTTTCTCGGTACTGCGTTTATCGTCTGACCGTTGTTGAAGCCTTGAACCGGAATTGGTGAGTGGGTTTTTTTTTTGATATGTCATTGAGTTGACTTTTGGATCAATTGCAACGCGTTGACCGGCGTTGACCTAGGGCTACGCGTTGACCGGCGTCGACCTTAGGGTTTCGCATTAACCTGAGGAGAACCAGTTTATACTCGTGTACTCCTGGGAGTTTCGGGAATCAGTTTAACCTCGTGTACCCGTCGGAGGTTGTCAGGTTATCCTTAAGAATTATTATCTGTAATATTCTCTAGGAGCCCTGACACGTCGTGCATCTCGAAGGGGGTGATACCAAGTTCACCGTTGGGGGTGAAAAATGTGCCGCTTTCCGCACAATACAATTCCAGAATGCTATGGAATTGAGAAGCGTTGATCCGCAGGCCATGTCGAGTGGCTTCGATGGCCACATACAGCTCTGTGCCCTTGAGGTCAGCATTCTCGGCCAAAACATAGTCGGTGATCTTGGACCACCACGTGTCGCTGCCTGGCGCAGAGTAAACCCACCCCGGGGCCCTGAAGTCCTTCGGGGGAAAGCTTCCACCGACTCGGAAGAAGCGGTGATGGAAGGTCTCCGCCACCGCTGTCGACTCCCCTACGGGCGGTTCAACAGACACTAAGCCAGGGCGCAGACCCGTCACGCGCTTACATGAGCTCTCCACTCCATACCCAGCCGTAGAGCCCGTAAAGACGCCACAAGTGACCCCGTCCTGAGTGGGGGTCAAATCCCAGTTCATCGTCCGAGGGATCGCGAGGGACCGCAGCTCAACAATCGAAAACCCTCTCGACATGCTGGGGAGGTAGTAATGGGTCCCCTCTACCGTGCGGTACCACCGGCTCTCTTTGAGCAACAGGGCGGAAGGGTCGGTCATGGAGTCGCCAAACAAAAATTGAGGTTTCGGCAGCTCTGCCCTGGCCTCATCTGTCAGCGCCGCGTTGGTTGTCAGCTCGCGTAGGGTCAAATGATGACCATCCGAGACCCTCTGTATCAGACCATGCGGCTTATCAGCGGTGAACACGGGTACTGGAGCCAAAGAGGGAAACCGAGAAGGTGCTGCGTAGCTCGTAGCCCCGACGTGGCCGACGGCCACACCCTCTGGAAAAGCCTCATCGGAAAAGGTCGCTGCAAGAAAAAGAAAAGAAGAAGGTCAATCAAGACAAAATCCGCTGTAGGGGCAAAATCGCCCGTCAAACAGAGGAGGGCGAAATCGCAAGGAGGAACCCACTTCGAATAAAGTCTGCCCCTACAGACTAGACGTCCCTCTAACAGGAAAGGGCCGGACTCGCCTTACAAAAAGGGAGTTCGCCTCCTTCCCGCTGAAGGGCTCGCCCGCGGAGACAGAAATCGTCTTCTAAGGGCAAACAGGGCAAACTTTGCCCCAAATCGGGAGGGCTACCAAGCTTAACGAGCAACGCTCATCTCTCCAAATCCGACGCCTAAGACCTACAAGAAATCATCCAGCAAACCCATCAACGTACCTGGGCGCGACTCCATAGCACCGGCAGGCATGCCGGCAGAGAGACGGTCGGAGTAACGTCCGGGGCCTGCACCCCTCACTTTACACCTCTTGGATTTCGGAGCCATTGTGAGAGGAAGCGGGAATTCTTTCCTTGGATGTTCCCTTTCAAGATTTGAAAGCACGGTAACTCCCAATGGAGGAAAACGGCTGATTTAGAAGGGCGGAGTTGTCCACGTGGCCACGACTGCCCTCGAAAGGCGAAAACCCTAACGGACAGGAAACGGGGCCACGATCAAATTCGACGGCCCAGATCACCCTCAGTGCATCGAAGGGACCGAGATTGGCGGTTGAATCCGACGGTTGAGTCCGAGAACCACGGCCACGATACGTCGCAGGGCGAAACGCACGAAGATCGTGCTGTCAAGTCACGATCGCCACGATCCAATGTCTTAGCTGGGAAGCACGAGGCTCTATCAGCAGACACGTGGCTCATCTCCCGTCAGATCCGGTTCCGCCTACAAAAGGAAGGGTTTCGCCTGCAAATACTGGGCATAACCCCACGAGTCGCGCGAAAATTGGCTCTCAAAAACTAATTTCGCCTTGACGATGCATTCGCCCTCAAAGGTAAAATTACGAACAAAGCCAAAAGAATGACCTTGCTTAAACGGTTGAAACCCACGCCCCAGATGGCTAAGGGTTAGAGCAGAAATCTTAGCATTAAGCCTAAGAGAAACTGTTCGACAACTCATCATACTGAGGAGAATAGTATGGCTAGCCCGATTCAAACGGTAATCGGTAAAGGCACATCAAACCCGTTGATAGCTGAGGATTTGCTAAAAATCCTAAGAGAAATCGAAGGCACTTGCTTCGCCAACAATTTCTTCATTCAAAGTATTCCAGACCACACGCAAGCCAGTTTAGGTCTGAAAACTTTGAAGGGGGTCTTGTAGACGGTAAAAAATACCTCTATGGGTCTACAGGAAATTTGCCTACGAGAAGAGTTCGCACGCCCAGTTCTCTGGCACGGACCTAAACCGCGTAGACGTCGACTGTACTCAAGTCCAGGTTCGCCTAACGGTCGACTCGCCAGCATGAGTCAGGGTCGATCAGGATGGCGGAAATTCGCTCTTCGCTCAACTCGCCTGCCCGAGTTCGGAGTCGAATCCGCCAGCAAGCCCCAAAACCGTCAGTACAGCTGGGTATCCACTACCCCACGTGCTGAGATGGACCTTCCCATCTCTCTCGACCCGAAGGGAGAGAGAGCACAGTACCCCAGGACCGTCAAACGGCCGCTCGCAGTGCGCACAGCGCGAAGGGACTGGACAGGTGTCGAGTCAACCTGAGCATTCATAAATGCGACTCACCTCGGCTGTCTGAGCCAAGAGCTGGATCCGCCGGCACTCGGCAAGCTGGCTAGACCCACTCGAGTACTGTACACCTACTTCACCGCCTCTCCTGACCGGAAAGGAGAAAGCGTCGTGCTCAAAGCACGCCGGGCGGTCACGCACAGTACAAGTGATCGGACAGACACTTCATCGATCTGCGAACTCATAAATGCGGTTCATTAATGCTGGTCAAATCCACTCGGATAGCAGTCGTTTGTTGCCTCACATACAAGAATGGGCCTTCCCATCGTAGGTGACAGGACATAGAGCACAATCCCTGGAATGACCGTTCATGGTATCGAGGAACGGCGAGACGTCTCTGAAGAGGATGTGGTCACATCCCACAATTCAAGGAGAAGTCAAGCCGTCCTTCTTTCATTTAAAAACCCCTTCCAGCACGATGGAAGAGAGGTCGCAAAACTTGAAAAAAAAAAGAGTTGAGACCAAGCTGTTAGCAAATCCTTGCATTACAGCATCGCTGCCTAGTTCCGAGCTCCGATCGCCGACGAACTAAGCAGGAGAACCGAAGCTCCGGCTCCGGCATCAACTTCGATCGGATCGTCCAAGGGAAGCAGACTCGGCACGAGCACCGAGCGAAGCGTCCTATAGCCACCTAAAGTCCCCACACAAAACAAAGAGGGCCTTCCCTCTGCTTCTGTTGTAAACATTTGATTTGTTAGTTTGTAATAAGCCTTCTTATAAATACAAACGAAACTCCTTCCTTCGGAAGAATCAAATTTTCACCCTACAGTCTTCCCAGTTCCTCCTGGACCGTCAATAAAGAAAACTCCACTTTTATTTCCTTCAACTCTTGATACTATTGTAGTGTATGCAGTATGTTGTTCATAGTTGAGTTTTGTTGCAGCATTTAGATCATCAGTTGAGATTTGAACATCTAGCTCTTCTTTTATTTCTCTTGGGTATGAAATTTCCTCTGTAATGTTTTTGGCTTGTAAAGGTGGCAAGTCAAAATTTTTAATATCCTTTCCCATGCTCTCTAAGTAGAAGTTAATATTGAGAAGAGTATCATTTATCACCGAAGCTCTAGTAGCATTTGGTTTCCTTGTGAAGTCTTCAGATAATGATTCAATATATTTATCCCACAAATGATTAACATCCGTAGGCTCACAATGAACCAATATAGTTGCAAACAAACGTCGAAGTGCTGTTGGCATTTGGAAGATGATGGCTTCATCTAAGCACTCTCTTATGCTATCATCAGATTCCAAAAGACCTAATTTTTGAGCTGATTGCTTGAAAGATTTGCAATGAATACCATTTACCGTCAGTAGATCTTCAAATGATTTCGGACACCTAACGTGAGTAAGCAATAGTCGTAAGTAATATCTCTCTCCTGCAATTGGATTAGCCCCATTTATTCGACCTATCACTTGTCTCTGTTTTCTTGGACGCCAAGATTTTGAAGTTGAATCCCAAACATAACATTCAGGAAATTCCACATATAATAACTCCTTTTCATGGTCCTTTTCATGTTTCTTCTTGTTACCTTCTTTAATTTTTTTACACATAGTAAAAAATTCTGTAAGCATCGTCTTTGAGACATGTTCCAAGTGAATAAATTTCGATAGGTCTTGATGTTTCCAATATGAAACATATTGATGATTTGGCATGTGAAGTTGTAAGTTAATGACAGCCGGGAATATCTCATTAAGATGGAATTCATATATTCTCCAGAAAGCTTCCTGAGCTGATACCCATCTTGCATCTTGAAAATTCTTGATTTCATTCACAACTTTTTCACCTTCATTGTACTCAATGTTTACTGCCACTCTATCATGACCTTTATATATGTACTTATAAAGGTATTTAACTGCTTTTATGCCTGAGCATATTTCAACATTGATGTGACAGTTATAACGTGTCAACAAATAAGGATTATAAGGTACCACCCATTGATTATTAAGGATTTTGTTTCGAACCAACATTGTTCTGTTATTTTTGCTCCTTTTATAAACTGGATAAGCATCTTTCGCTTGTAGTGATCTTGGAGAAAACTCTCTAGGGTAGTGATATTTACACTCGCCATTTTGCATGCAAACATTCTTCTTATTTAACTCTCCACAAGGGCCATGCATCATATGTTTTTTTACCAGTTCATATAGGATTGGATTTTCATAGCATCATATGTTTTTTTACCAGTTCATATAGGATTGGATTTTCATACTGGTTTGGAATTTCTGCTGATACGTACTTATCAACCAGTTCATATAGGATTGGATTTTCATACTGGTTTGGAATTTCTGCTGATACGTACTTATCATAATGATTAGATGAGACGATTTTGTGTTTTCCCATTAGAATAATCAACATGTGTGCATGAGGCAAACCTCTTTTTTGAAACTCGATGACATGAACATGGGCTGCAACTTTTCCAAAGATTTCCTTTTTAAATAGCTGATCTTTCAGGTCTTGTAATTTTCCTCTAAATATCCTTGAGGTTAGATCTGGTCTATCATTATGTGTCTGTCCTGGATGTAGCTCCTCCGTGATTTCTTCCCATTCAGGATTGCATGTCATTGTGATGAAAATATCAGGTTTGCCAAATCGTTGTACTAATGACATTGCATCAAGATATCTACGACGCATATCTCTAGGACCACCAATAAATGATGATGGCAGAACTATTCTTTTACCGACTTGACATGCATTTGCTTCTCCAGAAGCTACACTATCGACTATGCCTTGGAATAACTCTGCTCTGATTTCTGATTGTTTCTTTCTAAAATAATCAAGTCTTGTTGTTTCAAGCTTTATGTACATATCAACAGCATATTGATGGAACAAACGGCCTGCCGATGTTAATACTGTAGATTGTCGAGTGTCTCTTATCTGGAACTTGTAACAATAATATTCTCGACATGAGACGCTTCCTGCCTTTGGTGCTTTAACACCTACAAGTTTTCAGGTTAAGTTAATTTTTAATGTTTTAATAATATTAAACAATTTTAAATATGATTTACCTTCCCTTTCTCGTTTAAATATATCTTCTGCAGATGTAAACATTTGCTGAGTTACTTGAGATGTTGTATTTACTTGTTTTGACCGGCGAATATCATTTTTATCCCTTCTTTTAATATTTTGGTGCCACCCTACATCTCCGCCTGGAAAGAGTAAAGGATATTGTAAAGGATCATAACAACCAAAATAGTGCTTAACTTGATGATTCTTGCCAGAGTGTGAATGGACAACTATTTCTCTCTCATACGGAACATTATCATTATTTCCCTCTACCCAGATAGCTGCAACCTGATCCACTGTTGGCGAGTTGTAAACACGTTGATCTACTGCAGCATCTCTATTTATAATGATCTTGAAGTCTTCAAGAGATGGAAAATCATTTAGTTTCCGCAGAAATTTTGCATATGGGTTTCCTTCTAATATATCCATCAATCTTTTAGTTGTAGTCGTACTCATGTTTGCATTATCTAATATTCCCATTCGATTTTGCAACTCATTCTCCGTATCGTAAAAGTAGAGTTGAAAGTAGGAAGGCTTATTTTTTTCTGGAATAAGAGAGGGGAGATTATGATATATTTGTCCTTGTGCTCTAAATGTGAAAATACCCTTTCTGTTTGAAGCAAGTTCTCTATCAAACCTTGCCCTAAATGATGTGAATGAGAAAATGCTATTATACTTTCTGGTTTGTCTTCGAAACTCAATTGCCTCTTGGGTTTGTACAGTATAAAGGGCATATAACTCGTCATTAACATTCACATCTGCCATGTGGATTTCACCATTGTGACAACAGTATGTTGGTGGCTCATGTTCAAACTTTTTTGCTCCACAAAATGAACAAGACTTTGGAGTCTGTAGTTTATGTAATAAAGAACATACTGGTTCATGTGTAATTTGACCTAGAAAAAAATAATAGTTTTTAGTGTTAAATAAATTTAGATATATATAATCATGTAATTATTTTAATAAATTATAAAATTAAACTATGCAAACCTCCATGCGGATATTCTCGCTGTTGCGCTCCACAAAACAAATCAATCTTGCGTTTCCCCTTGCTATTGGTACTACTGCCAGCTAAATCATTTCTTTTCCTCTTTATATTATTATCAATGACCTTCTGAATGTAAGTTCTCTTCTGATCAAGATTCAACTGATTATATTTGGTGTTTCTACTCTCATGTATTAGAATGTGGTCTTCTGTTAAAAAATAATAAAATATACTATTAATAAACACAAATACACATAAAGCAATAATAATATATATTTATGTTGAATTCAAACCTTGGTTTGAAGTCATTTGGAAGAAGGTACTCTTATGCAAATGTATATTGATTATGCAATCCAAGAGGTAGAATTTAAATTTCTACAGGGAAAAAAAATTAATGTGTTAATTTATTGATTTATTAAATTAAACATAAATATAGCAGTGAATATAATTTAAGAGGATAAGTATATTTTATTTGTTGTTCAATAGTACTTAAGGTTTTTTTAAAGAAATTTGTTAAACTATGCATGCATCAGTAATCACAAATATCTCATATGCTAAGGTTAATTTTAATTTTTTTTAAGTCATATAATAATAATAACAATAATAAATATTTAAGTGTAATAGAAGATAACTTCAAGGAAATAAAGTTATCATCACTATGAACAAAATAAAGAGAAAAGAGAAGAAAGTTGCTTAACTAACCTGAATCACCGTCAATTTCAGAAATGTTTTAAAAAAAAACAACGCAAATCCAACCAAGTAGGATATCTGCATTAATATGAAAAAGTGTTAAATAATTTAATCTACACGTATGTATTACAAAACTAATATAAACTCTATCATTTGTGATTCTCCGAATCCAGAACCAAATCAAAGACAAACAATATATTTCTCATATCTGATTCCAAACCAAATCAAAGAAACGGCAATGTAATTAATTCATAGTTTTCAATAATCCAAGGTGTATGCATCATGGCCATCAAAATTGTTGCTTGCTCTTGATGTTTGAGTTCTGTAGATTATGTGTAAGCAAGTTGATGCCCATGATCCAATTGTATGTTTATTCCCTTTCCACTCTTCTTGCATTCAGTTTGTTTCTATTGCAATCTTGTGAACCATGTTGTTAAAGTCCCTTAGACATGAGGGTTGAGAATTATTATTTTATATTATAATATAACTGATGCTCACATTAAAAAAAAATTAAACAATCTATTTTCAAACCCATGAAAAAAACAAATCACATCTATATCAATCGCAAAACTTTTTCCAAATCATATTTACTTATTAGGCCCTATTTCTCCTCTCTTCACTCCTTCAGAACTCTCTTACCTCTTCCTGTACTCTTTTCAGCTCCACATTTTCTGCCCAAATTTATATCTAATTATTTTATGGCATTCACATTCACTTGCACAGAGAGAACTATGAAGGTTTGTATTCTGTCATCTCATAAACATTCCTTGGTCCTCTTTAATTAATTTATTCAAGTGGATTTCTTCGAAAAGATTAATTAATGGTCACTCTGCTTTTAGTTTTTGTGGGTATATGATCTTGTATGTGAGTGAATATTTAGTGGTTTTTGTGTGTTATAAACCTGCTTTTGATTTCATAGCTGATTATTTTTATTATTGTTATTATTATTTTGAGTAAGAAATTAATTTTCTTCCTTTTGTTTGGTAACCTAGATATGAAGTCATCGACTTCAGGCGAATCTAACACTCTACAATGGACAAAAGTTCAGGGTATGAAATTGATTGATTATCATTTTAGTTTGTAGAGATTTGTTGTGATTAGGGTGGATTTAGGTAGGTAATCACGTAGTAGTTTCTGAACAAGCGAGGAGCTCATACAAATTAGGGGAAAAGCTGAATGGCTGTTTGAATTGAGATTATTTGGAACTTAGTTCTATTTAAAGGATTGTTTTTTGGTTTTTCATTGGTGGTTAATTTAAACACAAAATCTATACTGTACTATATTTCTTGAACATAACTTGTATTAATAAAAAATTTCAATAAGCAACTCCTTCTTCATACAGACATCTTGCTCTTTACAGAAAGCTCGTATTGGGTAAAAATTGCACTATTCAAATATTTAAAATCAAAAGACAGAAAGTAGAAAAAAAATAATAATAATAAGTTTTGAGATAAACAAAAGTTTATGTTGTCTATAAACCTAAAATTATGCATGCAGGTGTCTGTCTAAACACATGACAAATCAAACTTCATTATGAAGTAACCGCTTAATTATTGTGTCACAAAAAAGAAGTGTGAGACGCGACACTTCCTGGAAATATAGACACAATGACAAGGTGAACGTTTGTGTTTTATGAGGAATCTATTAAATATCTATATTAATGTTTTGAGCTGTTCCTCTATGTGAAAGAACTAAAGTAAAATAAAATGTCAAGTAGAGCAATCAATAAGCATAGATGCCAATTCATGAATTTCCTTTAGGAAAATGAAGGTGGGCAGGTTAGTAAGTGAAGAAAACAAGTGTTATGACATGATTAATAAGCATAACATGATGGATAAATAAGCTGAATGGCTGTTTGAATTGAGATTATTTGGAACTTAGTTCTCTTTAAAGGATTGTTTTTTGTTTTTTCATTGGTGGTTAATTTAAACACACAATCTATACTGTACTATATTTCTTGAACATAACTTGTATTAATAAAAAATTTCAATAAGCAACTCCTTCTTCATACAGACATCTTGCTCTTTACAGAAAGCTCGTATTGGGTAAAAATTGCACTATTCAAATATTTAAAATCAAAAGACAGAAAGTAGAAAAAAAATAATAATAATAAGTTTTGAGATAAACAAAAGTTTATGTTGTCTATAAACCTAAAATTATGCATGCAGGTGTCTGTCTAAACACATGACAAATCAAACTTCATTATGAAGTAACCGCTTAATTATTGTGTCACAAAAAAGAAGTGTGAGACGCGACACTTCCTGGAAATATAGACACAATGACAAGGTGAACGTTTGTGTTTTATGAGGAATCTATTAAATATCTATATTAATGTTTTGAGCTGTTCCTCTATGTGAAAGAACTAAAGTAAAATAAAATGTCAAGTAGAGCAATCAATAAGCATAGATGCCAATTCATGAATTTCCTTTAGGAAAATGAAGGTGGGCAGGTTAGTAAGTGAAGAAAACAAGTGTTATGACATGATTAATAAGCATAACATGATGGATAAATAAGCTGAATGGCTGTTTGAATTGAGATTATTTGGAACTTAGTTCTCTTTAAAGGATTGTTTTTTGTTTTTTCATTGGTGGTTAATTTAAACACACAATCTATACTGTACTATATTTCTTGAACATAACTTGTATTAATAAAAAATTTCAATAAGCAACTCCTTCTTCATACAGACATCTTGCTCTTTACAGAAAGCTCGTATTGGGTAAAAATTGCACTATTCAAATATTTAAAATCAAAAGACAGAAAGTAGAAAAAAAATAATAATAATAAGTTTTGAGATAAACAAAAGTTTATGTTGTCTATAAACCTAAAATTATGCATGCAGGTGTCTGTCTAAACACATGACAAATCAAACTTCATTATGAAGTAACCGCTTAATTATTGTGTCACAAAAAAGAAGTGTGAGACGCGACACTTCCTGGAAATATAGACACAATGACAAGGTGAACGTTTGTGTTTTATGAGGAATCTATTAAATATCTATATTAATGTTTTGAGCTGTTCCTCTATGTGAAAGAACTAAAGTAAAATAAAATGTCAAGTAGAGCAATCAATAAGCATAGATGCCAATTCATGAATTTCCTTTAGGAAAATGAAGGTGGGCAGGTTAGTAAGTGAAGAAAACAAGTGTTATGACATGATTAATAAGCATAACATGATGGATAAATAAGCTGAATGGCTGTTTGAATTGAGATTATTTGGAACTTAGTTCTCTTTAAAGGATTGTTTTTTGTTTTTTCATTGGTGGTTAATTTAAACACACAATCTATACTGTACTATATTTCTTGAACATAACTTGTATTAATAAAAAATTTCAATAAGCAACTCCTTCTTCATACAGACATCTTGCTCTTTACAGAAAGCTCGTATTGGGTAAAAATTGCACTATTCAAATATTTAAAATCAAAAGACAGAAAGTAGAAAAAAAATAATAATAATAAGTTTTGAGATAAACAAAAGTTTATGTTGTCTATAAACCTAAAATTATGCATGCAGGTGTCTGTCTAAACACATGACAAATCAAACTTCATTATGAAGTAACCGCTTAATTATTGTGTCACAAAAAAGAAGTGTGAGACGCGACACTTCCTGGAAATATAGACACAATGACAAGGTGAACGTTTGTGTTTTATGAGGAATCTATTAAATATCTATATTAATGTTTTGAGCTGTTCCTCTATGTGAAAGAACTAAAGTAAAATAAAATGTCAAGTAGAGCAATCAATAAGCATAGATGCCAATTCATGAATTTCCTTTAGGAAAATGAAGGTGGGCAGGTTAGTAAGGGAAGAAAACAAGTGTTATGACATGATTAATAAACATAACATGATGGATAAATAAGCTGAATGGCTGTTTGAATTGAGATTATTTGGAACTTAGTTCTCTTTAAAGGATTGTTTTTTGTTTTTTCATTGGTGGTTAATTTAAACACACAATCTATACTGTACTATATTTCTTGAACATAACTTGTATTAATAAAAAATATCAATAAGCAACTCCTTCTTCATACAGACATCTTGCTCTTTATAGAAAGCTCGTATTGGGTAAAAATTGCACTATTCAAATATTTAAAATCAAAAGACAGAAAGTAGAAAAATAATAATAATAATAAGTTTTGAGATAAACAAAAGTTTATGTTGTCTATAAACCTAAAATTATGCATGCAGGTGTCTGTCTAAACACATGACAAATCAAACTTCATTATGAAGTAACCGCTTAATTATTGTGTCACAAAAAAGAAGTGTGAGACGCGACACTTCCTGGAAATATAGACACAATGACAAGGTGAACGTTTGTGTTTTATGAGGAATCTATTAAATATCTATATTAATGTTTTGAGCTGTTCCTCTATGTGAAAGAACTAAAGTAAAATAAAATGTCAAGTAGAGCAATCAATAACCATAGATGCCAATTCATGAATTTCCTTTAGGAAAATGAAGGTGGGCAGGTTAGTAAGTGAAGAAAACAAGTGTTATGACATGATTAATAAGCATAACATGAATGTGCTTGTATCTGTTTTGAGCAGGGAATGTCCTGAAGGAGCTATGGAAGCTATCAATTCCCAAACACATATAATAACATACAAAATAAGATTTAACTGGAAAAAAGAACTAATTTAACCAAAATTAAATTCTGTAAATTTTAAGAATCAACTCAAGTGAACTTACTTTCTAAATTCGATCCAGCTGTTGTTGGAATTTTTAAACCCTTGCCGACTGAAACTGTAGGAAATCCAAAATTAGTGCAAATTTTAGAAGGAAATGAGAGGAATGAAGAAGTAAAAGGGGATAGTTAGAGAAATACCTTACTGAATCCCCAATTGCAGAAATCTTTGGAGATGAATGCGCAAATTCTAAAGAAATAATAAAATGTGCAGATTTATGTAACGCTTCTGCTTCGATTGAGAAGGGTATCCAACGAATAATCCACATCTTTGCAAATTCCTGTAACGCTTTGGCTTCGTCGGAGAAGGATAACCGTCGAACTCTTCGGCTTCAGCTTTGCAATTCCCTGTAACGCTGCGGCTTCATCGGCGAAGAATAATCGTCGAACTCTTCGGCTTCGGCGGAGAGGATAATTTAAAGGGAGAATTTAATGTGACGGAGGCGGAAATCCCAGATGATGGCAAAGAAATTTAATGTGACGATTTAAAGGGAGAATTTGGGTATTTTTTAGATGGTTTAAGGTTAATTTTGGGATGATAAAGTTTTTCAGAAACTGGCTCTTTTAAAGGGTAGTTAGATGTGAAGATTACTAAACTTAGAAATATGATGATGTCAGGGTCAAATATATAAATTAACGTAGAACGTCTGAAAATACCTCGCGTAGTTTGACACGTTGCCCGCCTTATGACCCGATAAAAAATATATATATCATACTCCCTTTAAAAGCACGAGTTCGGAAAATCTTTTTTAGACAAATATACCCCTTTATAGTTTGAACTACCTTATCTATAATCAAATTCTAATTTTCAATGGTCAATATTACCCTACACTATTTTGAATATTTTATTTATATCTTAATCTATCCTAATCATAATCATATCTTATCCTAATCCTATGTGAACCATATTTATCTTAACAATTTAAAAAAACTAATATTAATAAAATATATAAAACATAAAAATGATATTAGTTTGTTAAGATAAAGAAATTACAAGTAGATAACCTATTATAATACATGAAGTATTGCAAAAAAACCATAAAAAGTTTTAAAATTGCAGAAAAGACCCTGAAAAGTTTAAAATTATAAAACTCATCCAAATGTCTCAAAACTTAAAATAAAAAATATGAAATTAAAAAATTAACATCAGTTTGCAAAGAATTTAAAATTTACAGTTAACACCTCAATGTCTCAAAAATTATAGAAACACCCTCAAAAGTTTAAATTACAGACAAGCACATTAAAATTCTAAAATTTTAAAACTTACAAACAACACAGATGAATTCAAGAGATTACCATGATACACCTAAAATTTTTGACATTTAAATTTAAATTTTTTAATTAACACCCTCAATATCTCAAAAATTATAGAAACACATTCAAAAGTTCAAATTATAAAAAACCACCCTAAAATTCTAAAATTTGTAAATAAAATAAGATGAATTCAAGATATTACCCTTAGACACCTAAAAAATTAAAATTTGCCAAAATTAACCTCAAAATTTTTAAAAAACTCCTTCAAAATTTAAAATAGGGATTTTCTAATTTAGGGATTTACTATCCATTTAAAATTTCTAATTTAGGGATTTACTATCCATTTTCAGCATCTAAGAATGGTCTAAGTTGATACTGGTAAACAAAAACAATAAGAATTGATTAAAAACATCCGGATAATGGATAAATTTTTTAAAAATATTATAGATTAAAAATTATCGGCACTATATAAATTTAAATAATTTCATATAATTTTAGTAATAAGTTGGGGTAGCAAAAATACATTCGTAACATTAATTGATAGATGTTTAAATCCATAGAAATGATAAAACACTATAATATTATACCTTAGCATTAATTGATTTTAATTTAGAAACTTTAATCTTTGACGTTAATAATATTTATAGGGTAAAAGAATACAAGGAATTACATATGGAGAAACTATTAGAATATTTAGAGATAACTTTAAAAGAATTGAGTTATTTCCATTGCAAATGGGAAAGTGATGGAAATAAATCTAAAATTCAGAAAACGTCAATGAATCACTTGAATTGGCATTAACATAAGACATATCTATTAATGAAGCACTGAATGAGTTACATTAAAAAATAATTTAATAACTTTATCCTAATCAAAGAAAAAATCTCCATGGAAGACATAAGAAAAATTAGTAAGTATTCATAAATTCCATACTGTGTTCTTCAAATTAAATATTAATATTATAATCTAAGAAAAATTGGTAATGAATATTGCAGGTATTTAGTTTAGATCTTTATGGAAAATGACAGGGATAGAGCAAATGTAATATTATTGAAATAAAAGAAATTCTTATTGGATGCACATCAGAAGAATTCATTTTAGAGGAAAATAAAGAGATAGCTTCTAATTTATTTAAGTAATAAATTAGGAATACAAAGAATTTTATATATATGAAATTAATATTTATTCTTATTGAATTAGAAAAAAAAATTAAAGTCTATATTTTGAGCAATTTGTGTTGAACATCATAAGTACATTTGACTTCTTTGTAAAGTTAAATGAGATGATAAAAAATTAACGAGCCTAGGAAAGATAATAGCATAAAAAATACAAAATTAGCCTGATGTCACAATTGATGTAGATGATGAAGACAATACTCTAGAATTGTCCGAGAAATGATAAATGATAAACCTGAAGAAGGATTGATCTTAACTCAATAAAAAATAAAATAGAAGAAATAAAAACAATATTTTATGAATATTTTATAGAATAGTTTAATTATTTTGAGTGAAATTAGGAATCTTTAGAAGGGAGTTTCATGAATTTTTTTCAGTACTTTTATATTCTTATGTGGATGTTTTTATCATATAAAAGTATACTAGAGTTAGCATTAATCTTTAATTTATATTTTTTTATGAAGTCTATCAATGATTAGGAATAAACTTCATATTCTCTTTTGCATCGTTTTAACATACTTTAAATCAATCATTTTGCCATATTGGTTTTAAATATTCACCTTCCTTGTATAACACTATTTTAATATTTTTCACTTTGCAATGCTATACTTTCTCAAATAAAGCTTAGTTTCATATCGGTCAAAAATAATATGAAAATTCAAATTATTTTTAAATTATATTTGTTTTTTGTCAATTCAAATATCAACATGAAAATTTAAATTGGGTGTATCCCATTTAAACAAACATAAAAAAATAATCGGGATGTAAGGGTTTAAAGAAAAAAATAAGCACAAACTGCCAAAAATACTTAATCATGGTATTAAATCACGTGCATTGCACGTGTGTAAAAACTAGTAATAATAAAAAGAACAAGACGATCGGGTCCAATTTGCAAAAAGAACCCTGTCCATTTCCAGCTCTTCATCCTATATAAATAGACCTAACATCGCCTCCGCCTTCCATTTCTAGGGTTTTTTGCCGCCGCTAGCGACCATGGGCCGAAGTAAGCCTCTCGATTCCTCATCTTTTATCTCATCAATTCTGTGAATTAATTGGATCTGATCTTTGATTATTCGATGGTTTCCTCAGTCGTTAGTTTTTTTTTTCTTTTTTTGTTGAAATCTTATGATTAATCTTTGGATAGTAACAATACAATCTACGGATCACGATTTTTTTTTAGAAGTACAATCTTTGAATTGAATTCAGAGCTTTGATTACCTCTTTTTAAAGGGTCTAAAAGTATATAGAATCATTTCAATAATTATGATAATAGAGTTAAGATTAATTGGATAGATGTAGCTTGATGTTTGAACCATCAAGGTGAAATTTTTAAGTGCGTATACTGGAAACTGCATCAAGAACATATTTCCTCCTTGACAATCAAGTTTGTTTTTTATAATTGTTGGCAATTTTAGTTTATACTTTCTGCCTTTGTGTATTACTCTCAATAGCTAGGGTTATGAAATCAAAATTTTGGATGAACTTGAACCTGCTTAGATCCCGAATCTAGATTTCTATTCTAGTTAGTTGACCATTGTTTATGTTCCATGTGCACGAAGGTTTACTTATCATTTATTGAGAAGTATTTAATGGATATGTAATTATGTGTTTGGACCTGCACTGTCTTTTTTATGTATTTGTGTTTGTATGTTATCTGCTGATGATATAGTATTAGTTGATGAAACTAAAAGAGGTATTATTTCTAAAGTAGAGAGATGAAGATAAGCTCTGGAATCTAAATGTTTTAGAATTTGTAGAACAAAAACAGAATATATGGAGTACATTTTTAGTAAAATTAGGAAAGGAAGAGAGCCCTATGGTACATATCGATGGTCAAGAAATACCTAAAACTAATCATTTTTACTATTTAGGATCAATCATTAGGTATGATGGTGAGATAGATGAATATGTTGTGCATCGAATGAAATCGGGATGGTTGAAATGGAGTAGTGCTTCTAGAGTATTATGTAATCGTAGAATACCAATGAAACTAAAGGAAAATTTTTGTAGGACGGTTATAAGACCAACTATGCTTTATGGGTCAGAATGTTGGGCAATTAAAAATAATATGTTCAAAAAATGAGTGTAGCAGAAATGAGAATGTTGCAATGCTCTTGTGGGTATACATTAGAAAATTGGATAAGAAATGAGTGCATCCGTAGTAAATTAGAGGTTGTGTCTATTGAGGATAAATGAGAGAATAGGTTAAGATGTTCTGGTCATGTACAACTAAGGCCCCTTAGTGCACCGATTAGGAAAAGCGATGATATTAGAGTTATTGAGACTAGGAGATCTGGAAGTAGACCTAGAATGACTTGGTTAGAAGCAATTAAAAAGGATATGATTAAGACTAACTTAACAGAGGAGATGACCCATAACAGAATATGAAAAAATAGGATTCATGTAGCCGACTTCAAACATTTGGGATAAAGGTTTGGTGGTGGTGGTTGTATCTAAATCAAAACATTGCTTCTTATAATTATGGGATTTGACAATACACTGCAGTACATAATGAGGCGTCATCGTTTTGATTGATTAGACCGTAGGTGGTTTTATCTTTTGTATTACGTGGTTGAAACATATTTTGGTTTGTAAGATACAATTTTGCTCTTTTGACATGTTTTTACACAACAATCAATGACAATCATCATTTATGCATCTGCTGCATTTACAATTGTGAGTCATTTGCTCTTGATGTTCCATTTTCAATACATATGAAAGAAAGTGTTTTTGGGGTTACCTGAAACTTTTGTACTATTTTCAACTGTTCGACATGTTAATAGATCCTTATAAATTAAACTTAAGTGGTCTTGTAATTTCCCTGTGCAGGACCTGCAAGATGCTATCGTCAAATCAAGAACAAGCCGTATCCCAAATCAAGATATTGCCGTGGTGTTCCTGATCCCAAAATTAGGATTTATGACGTGGGAATGAAGAAAAAGGGAGTCGATGAGTTCCCCTTCTGTGTTCACCTTGTCAGTTGGGAGAAGGAGAATGTGTCAAGTGAGGCACTTGAGGCTGCTCGTATCGCTTGCAACAAGTACATGACTAAGTATGCTGGAAAGGATGCTTTCCATCTGAGAGTTAGAGTTCATCCTTTCCATGTCTTGAGAATCAACAAGATGCTTTCATGCGCTGGAGCTGATAGGCTCCAGACTGGAATGAGGGGTGCATTTGGGAAGCCGCAGGGTACATGTGCGAGGGTGGCCATCGGTCAAGTTCTGTTGTCTGTTCGCTGCAAGGATAACAATGGACATAATGCTCAGGAGGCTCTTCGCCGTGCTAAGTTCAAGTTCCCTGGTCGCCAGAAGATCATTGTTAGCCGAAAATGGTATTTTCATTCGATTACAGGAATTTACCATCTATAGTAGATTACCACAACCACATGTCTATACAACTTTTAATGCTTAGTTTCATTAAATGTATGGTTTGGCATGATATCGGACACCATCTCTTAAGAGTGTACTGCAATTTTGTAGTTTTTGGTAACTCCTGATGATTAGTTTTGCATGGTATCCTTATAGAGCTTGCATGATCAGAATTGATGAATTATCAAACATTTTAAGTACATTGCTGGACTGAAGCATGTATATCCACATATATGATTTTGTATTATATTCTTAAAATAGTGCTTATTTTTGGTATTTTGTTAATGCTTATTAATCATCGTATGTGTTTTCAGGGGCTTCACTAAATTCAACCGTACCGACTATGTGAGGTGGAAAAATGAGAACCGGATACTCCCTGACGGTGTTAATGCTAAGGTTGATTATCTACGCCTTTTGAGTTTATGCTTTATATTCACATTGCACAATAAACATTGCTGTAGTTCAAAAAATTTCTCTAAACCTTTGACTATGTATAATGATTTTCTTGGTTACTGTTACCTTTGCAAAGTCTTGTTGACGGGACAGTTAAAATAACTCCGGTTTTCTAGAATCCATTCTTGACATAGTTTTCTTAATAATAGTTTCTTTATGATGATGGTAGAAGTAGCCTTAATGAATAATGTTCTGATATAATTATTTTTGGATGTTGTGTCGGAAAGGCATGGCACGGGGTTAGTAAGTGTAGAACGAATGAAAATTGACTTCTACAAAATAGAATAATAAGTGTGCTATTGTTTTCTCTGATTTAAGTTGGGTATGCAAGATTGGGCAAGATAAGTCAAGGAATAAGAGTTAACGGATTCTAGAGGTATTAATGGTAGTATGAGTTAGGGATGATGTTCGTCTGTTTGTTGATTGTTTGGTAGATGGAAGTAATATGAGTTAGGAGTATAGATTGAAGAAAAGAGAAAATCAAAGACTTTAAGTAGAAATGATGTTAAATCAAGACTTTTAAAGCCACATGGCAAGAATTGTCCAGTGCCAACATAATTGTTGTAACTGCAAGGAACTTTTAAAAATTATTAACCGAAACAATCCTTAAACTACGTTAGTTTGCTGAATGTCATCCTGGTAATGAGATAATATACAGGATTATTTTGTATCCAATTGGTCTTCTTTCCTTGTTAATATTGCAAGATCATTGTAGTTTTATGCCGATATCTGGTAAATGTCAAAATTGCAATATTTGTATTAATCAATTTAAAGTGCAAAAAATGTTGCACCTGATTGGGTTTCTTACCTAATGTCATTACTTGTGTCCCAATAAGTTACTTATACCACTGCACCAATATTTGGCATTCTTGATTTTTTCCCCCCATCTAAATCTACATTGGGAAAGACCTCATAAATCCTTTCGATGGTGTGTGATGCAGCTACTTGGATGCCATGGACCACTCGCTAATCGTCAGCCTGGAAGAGCTTTCCTAAACGCTACAAATTAAGATTCCATATATATATACATTACATATGAGAGTAGCCTTTTACGTTGGCATACAATATCTAAAGACATATGTATTCTGTAGTGTCTATGGAATTCTTGTGTTGTGAGTCCTCAGGATGCAGATTTGCTTGTTAGAAGTATATCTTATTATTTTTGTTTGGATATGGTTCAAAGTTTGAGAAACTGATGAATAAGTTTTGAAATGCCTGTTGGGTTTGTGATTGCCTCCAGAGCAGAAGTTTTGATATGTCATGAGTACTGGTGTTTAGTTCTGGTATCTGTTTGCAATGTCTGCATGCTGCGAGTTTCGCAGACTTTTGGGAGTTGTTAGCTCTCTGTTTCGTGGTAGTTTTGCTGGGTTGTGGTATTTCTTTGTATACGTGGGCTGATGACTTTCTTTTTGTCGGTCGATTCACTTCAAGACCGAAAAACCTTTCCTTTATCAATAAGTCCTTGCTGACGGTGAGATCTTTATCTGCAGAAACGACCATCATTGCAATGTATTCAGATACGAGGAAATTATATTGTTTTGTATTCTTATGTACCGTGATTGTTTTGTATTCTTATGTATTGTGATTAAAAGTAGCGGTTTCAACTCCTCTTCAATTCAACAAGCGAAAGATACAGCTCTGCCAGCACTATTCTTTTAATCAGTCTCCCTCTGTCTATTCAACAAGCGAAAGACTGCCAAAAGAACACTTTTGGCAGGTTTTCTGCCCAAAACGCCTCTAAAAAGAGGCGTTTTGGGCAAAAAGCCTGCTAAAAGTGCTCTTTTGGCAGGTTTTCTGCCCAACCCCCAATGCCAAATACATCAACCAAACAACTAATGTTTGGGTTTATGACGTTGCTTTATGTTTGGGTTCCATGTAATTATCTTTAAATGGTACTTGGATGGTTTGATGTATGTAACCGACCTACAATCTTAAAGAGGTAAGAAATTTTTCGACGAAATATCATTGATATGCATAAGCTACTACCCTAAATTTGATGAAACTGGAAGGCCAAATGTACCAAACTTTTACTGCCGGCTCGAGACAAATTTGTGCCCAAGATGGTTTCTGATACTCTTCCCTGTACTTCTGAATCAGCATTATGGGCTAACCATAAACGTTTTTTGTGTCATTATTCGCAGATTTTCACTTGTCGAAAAACAAGGGAAGCTTTACTATTGAAACTCAAGACATAAATATACACTGCATAAAAGCACTTCAAAGAACGAAAAAACACTAAATATTTTCTCTCAGATTTCCAAGAACGCCGAATCTGTTGCACACAGGTAATTCACGAATTCCAAACAAAATTGCAGACCGGTATATATCTTGAGTACAAACTTAGACTTATTGTCTTCAAATTACACTCGCATCCGAAAAATATACTTAACAGCACAACAGATACAGTTCCTCAAAATTAAACAACATGAGTTACTACTCTCTAGGGCAATGTTCAGAGATCTCCTGCCCTTAGTTATCATAACTGCGGGTTAACAAATGAAAACGAATCAAATGAATGTCCTAGGCTCACAAGTTACAGGAGATTGTTTTCTTTTTTTCTTTTTTTTTTCCCCTCTCTTTCTTCTTTTCCAGGGTTAACACAAGCCGATCAAACTCACCAGCTAGTTATGATGATATACTCAAAGAGACGACGTCTAAAAGCAATCACTGATTAAATGAAAGATTCACTATCTTCCTGTTTTAGCTCTCTTCATCCCACTGTTACCAAATGGTGAAACACTGCCGCTAGGATGAGGGCTATCTTCTCTTAGACCTGAATTCAACATGGCTAGTTCTCGAAGTTGTTGCCTCTTGTAGTAGTCTTGGGATTCATCCTGTAGAAAGAAATATGATTTTTATATCATAAATTATAATAGTCAGGAAAGAAAATGCATCCAAAAACAAACTTTAAACAGTTGTGCAAAAAGAACAATCATGACACAACCAATAAGTAGTAAGTCACATAAACTTAAATCAGTTGAGCTTCAAAACATTTATCGGAAAATATCTTGATCCCTTAGAAATTTGCGAGCATGGAAGGTTCTGCTGGTTAATTGAACATAGCCCCAGTAGCATCCGGCTCTGGAACTTATTACCCCTATAGTTTGATTTTTGCAGATAGACTGGAGTGAAATTTTGTTGATTTTTTTACCCTCAGAGAAAAAAGAAATTTGTCTTTCGACAAATAGAGCCCTGAAGGTAAAAGAGTAATAATAATAATAAATCACTCAGGGAGTCCTTATGCCAAAATCAAATTACAGGGGTAGCAAGTTCCGAAGTACAATACTGCAAGTGGTTCTATGTGAATATTTGTTACATGGTAGTAACTTAAATCATAAAACCAAGTAGATTTTCGAATTTATAATGGCAACTTTTCGTAAGTGACATATATGGAAGAAATAGAATGAAGGACAGATAGTTCCTTATCCCATTTAAAGTTGTTACGGTGGATTCTTTTTAATCAAATTTAACCCATTCAAATCCTAAAACCTTAAGAACGAACTATTTAAAAGAAACCAACTTCTTCATCTTTATCAAGGAAACAGCAAGTTACATGCTTTGACAGGATTTATGACTAACAAGCTTTAATCAGGTGATTTGCTTCTGATACAAGTTTGAACTCATGCTAAACGTAAAGGATGGTGTTCATTTACTCGTGAACGCTTATGAAACTTTAGAACAATGCTGTAAGTAGCAACTGAGGGTAAAAGAAATACATACCACTGGTTTCAGCAGCTCTTCTATGATTTCCTGTGCCTGTCTCAATCTTGTATCCACAATATTTGCAGGCAACTCAGCCTCAATTAAAATGTGCAGCTGATCATTCAAATGCTCATAACCTGGTCTTCCCCTAAGTTTGTCCTCCTTCAATATGCACAAAGCATAATCAGGCTTAGTGCAAGTGATGCGAAGTAAATAAACAGACAATATAAATGAAAGTATTATCTTAGAAGAATGCTCATCGACCAAATATCATACGGCAGTATCCTTTACTTGGGTCAAATCACAAAATAAGGGTTAATTGCGGATAGACCTCCCCGTAGTATCGTCGTTCTGAACTTACCACCCCACTAGCTTTATTGCTGTAAAAGACCCCTTGAGTGAATATTTTTGAGTCTTTTACCCTCAGGGGGTCTATTTGTCAAAACACAATTTTCAATTCACTAAGAGTAAAAGAGTCAGAAAAATTTACTGAGGGTGTATGCAACAAATGAAACGAAGGAGTTGTAAGTTCAAAACAACAATACTACAGGATTCTATCTGCAATTAACCCAAAAAATAAACAAGCAGAATACAAAGGTGCATGCACACAAAAGATGTATATGGTTGAAGTGACATGAAAGTTACATAGACCACATAAGTGTGCACATTAACTAGCTGAAAATTTAATTTTCCTTCTCTTCTTCTCTTGGGAAGTAGCAATTAATATACAAAGCCTTACAAATCCTCGACATGAGTTCTTTTTTACATTATTGGCTTAATTTTATCATTTCATCCTCTTTTTTTTCCTTTTCCTAATGCGTTAATAAGGTATTTTCCATGTTTATGGCTTCGTTTTGAAACATAATTTATAATGATTCTATAAAATATGAACATCATTACATTCTCTATAACGTTCTTATAATTTTCTAGGTAACCATATCATTATGTCCTGGTTGTACTCTTGTGCTCAAGACAGATAAATCTCCATACTAACTCCAGCAACACTTGCGGGAATATGTTGGGAGAATATCAATTTGGGTTAACTACACAAAATCCCCTTGAACCTAGGGGGATTTTGCACATGAAGTGGGGGCAGGGGGAATGTTGTCTGTAAATGGCAAATATCTATTGTGTGTGTGTGTGTGCGTGTGTTCTTTTTTCCCCCTCTAAAGTTATCTGCCAAGTATATGTAGAAGGGCTTGTGAGAAAAGTTTAAAGTCAGGAGAGTTTGTGAGAAAAAAAAAAACCCACCCCACCCCAAAAAAGGAAGAAAGAAATCATGGATTTTGTGGAGCTAATCCATAATTTTGATCAGGTTCAGATCCTTAACGACATGGCAGGACCTAGCACACCAATAATGTGTATGAACACAGAAACGAGAAAGAGATATATATCAAATAAAGAAGTGTCCTTTTTTATACTAGATCCATTATCACACTTATCCAATAACAGAACTTGCATACTGATATTGCCACTTGGTAGAGTTGTTCATACCTTGCCAGGATCTTTAATTGAACCTTTTCCTCTGATATAAACACGACAGCCTGTAGATGCTTCAACGCGCTTTAAAGAATTACCCCTAGGTCCAAGAAGTCGACCTACAAAGTTGAACTGGATGCATATAAACGAGTTATATATCACAAAATAGGAACCTTATATATGTTATAACATCAATCAAATAGAATTGCTATACCATTAAATCAAGGTTGTCCAAAGTATTCCAATTGTCTATAACGCATCTAAAATACATGCTAATATGTTATATTACCATGACTGAAGAGTCCTGGTAATTTAAATGATTCATATTCAAGTAAAGATTTGGATATCTTAAAAGCGACTACCTTATTTGCAATATCTTGTTACTTACTACCTTATTTGCAATATCTTGTCACTTATTGAGATGAATCTTATTCTTTTAGTACATATTTAAGCAAATATATGCGGACCATTACTCAATCTTTGTTTTACTTCCTTGTTTTTAGCTTTGTTCCTAAGAAGATATTGGAAAACGCAACATACATTTGGATAGCTGTCAACTGGAATTTCTAATCTCAGGATCTTCTTGACAAAATATGAACTTGGGCTTGCTGGCGCTCCTTGCCAATCCATTGACATTCCTTGAGGAAGGCCAAGCCTCTGTAGAAAAGAGGAATTTTTTTTTCAAGATCAGCAATAGAAAAAATAAATCATATCTTGTTTATAACAGTTTGGTGCATGATTGCCTGATTGGTGTAGTATTAAACTTAAGGAAGACTTGATTCAGCCAAATTCTGTGTGTCAACATCAAAAGATATAAAATACTCCAAGCGTAGTAAGAACCAGGCAAAAAATAGAACTTGCATTTAATCAAAACCATTGTTGCATAAAGGACAGCATGTGACCTGTACGCTCTAGGAAAGAACTATAGTTATCATTAGAAGCAATAATTTATCGAGAACTTGAAAGAATGTAATAATTTACCTCCTGTTGTATTCCATTCCAACTACCTAAACCAATCCCTCCAATGTTTGGAGAAGCCATGGGACTGGGACTTCCTTGGCGCATCCTGTCATAGTCACCGAATCCATGATTGGGAACAAAGCCAGAGACACGAACAATTTCTGCGAATAATAAAGGACATGTATGTTAAAGACAAATTAAACTACACAAGAAGATTATGCTTGAGCTTCAAGGTTCAATCGCGCTTAAAGTCGGATCAACCCCCAAAGTTTGCCTAAAACTTCTAAGAACCCCTTCATCTAATGTTTTAATCCATTAAGCCCTTACAGTTATTATTCCAATCTATTGAGTCCTCACTGTGGTTCTCCGCCCTAAAAATAGGATACAATATCTACTAAGGGTAAACTGGGTATATATCTGGGGGGAACCACCATGGGGGCTCAATAGACTGGATAATAGCTATAGGGGCTTAAAGGGTTAAAGTATTAGGTTAACTGCTTCTTAGAAATGTCAGGTAAATGCTCGGGTCTGATCTAACTTTTGAGTTCAATTTAACCAGAAGAAATAAGAAACGACATCCAGCAATTTTGTGCGTCCAGGATCATACAAGTTTTTGTATGAATATTGGTAAACAAGGTATTTTAGAAGGCATAAACCACTACCAGAAACAATAAAATGTTCAAATAAATGGCACCCATTTAATAGTTATAATGGAGTTATTGTTCTGGAAAATGATGATAACTTTGATAACTTTACACTTCCATAAATTCTTGTAGAGTTGCTAACAATGAGATCAGTACTCTTATAAGGAAATTGATTGTGTTTGCATCGTAATGAGCCAAACTGCAGATGATTGACACAAACAGTCACCCGCCACATACTGAAACATGCCTCCGAAAAATGAATAATCAACACTTCATCTCATTAACGATATTTCAATTTTAGACTAAAAATATATTACATTGCAAAGCTCTCGACATATAAATCAAACTTTCAGATACAACCCCTTTTTTTTCAAACAACTGAAACAGATGTGAATTCAAATCCTATAGTAAATCATGAAAATATCTGAAAAATTCACGACTCTTTAATCAAACATATACACTTGCCAAAGATACTAGAAAATAGTCAACTGATTGCTAAATTATCATATCAAGAACCATCCTGTTTTATAACGAAAAAAAGAAGTAGCAAAAGCAAATATATATGTAAAGCACAAATACAATCAATGAACATAAAGAGGAAACAAGAAAACAATCTTGCCACCATATCCATTGTGCAAATGTAGTTAAGGTCACAAGTATGACTTAAACAAATATACAAAAGTAAAGATATTGGAAGAAACCATCCAAAGGAAGAAAACATAATACACCAAATATTGGTTCCAACAATATTTTTATTAAATTCATACAACATACTTCATAGCAAATATCAGCCATAAAAATATGCTGAAATCACAAAAATTAAGCATTACTTTATGAATGTCGAAACAAAACAGTTCAACTAAAGAAACATATCAAAAGTCATCACAGAAGCTCCCCAACAATCACACTTACAACAGCAGCCTTGCATTCAATAGATACTATTTACCCAACTCATCCAACAAAGTACAATCTTTTCATCCAATAATCAAACATCTCACACCAAAATAAGCAATCACAACATCAAACTAAAAAAAAAAGAACCATAAACACAATAAACATCAAACAAATCTAAACACCCAAAATAAAAAAAAACCCTCAAAAATCACTCACCCTGATTCAACAATCTGCTGCAAATGGGCAGAACCTGCATGAAAGGCACAAGCTTCTGGTGCTCTGCCAGCAACTCTGCCAGATACTGACTACAACCAATACCACAGGCAACAATTATACCAAAAGATCAAAACTTTAATCAAATCAAACCGAAAAGAACACATCTTTCCCATATCAATACCTGTCTATATCTGGTGTGTTCCTTATCTGGGGGGAGAGAGCTCTTGCTGGTGAGAAACTGTGAGTATACAAACCTGACATGCTTTTGAGAACAAAGAAAGGCTTCAAATAGAGGGAGTTCAAAAAAAAAAAAAAGGAAAAAAGGAAAAGGGAGTCCTTATTGTTGTTGGCTGCTTAAAGGAGGAGGGGATGGTGTTTATGTTTTCCCCTTTGTTTTTCAATGGTGGGCAACCCTGAAACCCTTAAAAGTTTATTGAGGGATTGAGGAGAAGGGGGAAAAAAAATTTTGTGAATGTGAACGAGTGGCGACTTGGGTTTTAATGGGGACTTTATGGTTTTTTTTTTTTTTAATTACAGTGAGAGAGAGGAGATGACAGAGGGCTGTAATTCTGGAAAGAGACAGAGGAGAGTGAAGGGGGGGAGCTGAGATTTTTTGGTAAGAATTCATAGCGAGGACTCAATGTGGAAAATTGAATAGGTGTGGTTTGATAATTGGTTAAGTGAGGGATCAAAAACATCTAATCTCTTTTTTTTTTCCAATCTAGAGAAATATAAACAATTGGCACACGAAATTTGTTAGGTACAAAATTAAGTTGCAAATTGTTTAGATAAGTCCTCGGAATAAAAGGGGTTTGCTAATCCATCTCTTTAAACTAATAGGAATTACATATTTGTGTATAAAGAAAAGTTGCGGAAATCCCCTCTATTTCCCGAAAAAGGAAAAAAAAGAAGAGGTAAGTGCCCCGTGTTAGATGAATCTTACCAAACAATGTAACATATTTAATCGTTTGGGCTAATGAACGCGTTAACTAGTTCAATGCTTGTTGATTTCTCCTCTTTAAGTTGTCGTCGTACTGAATTGTATAGAGAATACTCTGCATGTGTATCGTTATCGATTCAACTTTCGTGATTATATTGATTTTTATATTATTTACATTAATCATTTAAAATGCGTTGAACTGTTCATATTGATTTATTGTTTGTGCTAGCTTTGGTGAGCCATGTGTAACATTCCCCTTATTTCCTATTTGATCTTCTTTGTATAATTTTATAAACGGTTTGTATTTATTTAAAATTAATAGTGAGATATGCATAACCTGTTTATTTTCTATAGAATTTTTTGTGGAATGATTTTTTGTGTCTGGTATGATTCTTGTTCATCAATCTTTTTGGTGTGTAGTTGCTTCTGAGAACTGGACTATTGGTATTCAATGTGTGCTAATTTGTCACAATCAGTGCACACTAGGCTAGAAAGCAACAAATTGGCTTGACAGACTCCTATTAATGGACTGATGATATTTGAAGGAAATTAGGACTTTTCTCTTAATGGAAATTAAATAATTTATTTAGGATTTTTTTTTAAAATTGCTTGATCGTATTTATCAATCTTGAGACAGAGAGAGCTTGCAATGTGTAAAATAATTAAAGAAAAGTAAAATATACAAATCTCTATTTTCATTAACACGTGACATTATTTAAGGACCAATAAAGTTTCTCGAGTGATATAGGTGGCTATAATGCTGACTACAACCGTAAAAAGATGTGACTTTTGACTTTGAAGATTCTGGAGTCCTAACCATATTAATTTTATAAGCATACGTATTAGGAGAAAGAGAGGAAAATAAGGGAAATTAACAACAAAATCTCTAATTTAGTAATTTTTTAACAAAAAAATACTACACATTTCTTCATATAAAGGTCACGCATGACCCACGTACATAGATTAATTTCATGCAATATTTATTTACTAATTGAGCTAGCATGGGTAGTGCACGTGGAACTGCAGTAGATGGTCATATTTCTATTTTCTAACCATTCTCGACTTATAGTAACTTTTTCACACAAATATTTTAAAAAAAATTCTAACAAAGAATCATGGATAAAATTCAACAAAGTGATCAATTAATCAAGCAAGGAAATGATCACGTTAGGGACACAATTCATCTCAATGCAAATTATTTGGGTAGGTCTTGTTCCACTCTAGTGAGTTCAGGTTCAATCTCATTAAGCAAAAGCAAATGTTCAAATTTCTTGATCGCATATAAAATAATCATTGTAACAACATTTTCTTATCACCTTTCTCAAATTTGCTCCGAGTCCTACTCAGATCAAATAAGATATTTTTCCATATCAAACCAAAAGTGAAGCATGCATGCATGTAATTGCAATCTAAACCACAAACATGAACTTTTCTTTCGAATTGCGCAAATTGCAGCTAACCCCATCGTCTATACATTTAACGTCATATTGCCCCATTAGCTTATTTTATTTACTTGTACTTAGGCTTTGTTTGGCAAAACTAGCTGAAAGCTACGAGATTATAACTGAAAGTTGTTAAACTAGCTGAAAGCTGTGAAATTGTAGCTGAAAGCTAATAGCTGTGTAGCTAGCTGATTGAAGTAGAGCTGTTTGGCAAAAGTAGCTGTACAAATAGCTTAAATTTGTTAAATGATAAAAAACATGCAATATTATTGATATAAAATTAGAATTATTCAACAGTACTCATTTATTTATTTATTTACCTACTTATTTACTTATATATTTATTTACCTACTTGTGTGTGTGTGTATATATATATA